GTAGAGTGACATCAGTTTATTTTCTTGCACATTTCTTTGACAGTTAAACATCTTGAGCTCTGATTGAAAATGTTTGTGCAGATTAAATTTACAGCTCTCACTTTGTGTTGTTGTGATGATGATGATGGTGCTGCCGACTTGATATGATGTCATTAATAAACAGTATAAATGGCAGTAAAAAGTACTTTATTAAAGCTTGTAAATGGCAGTAAAAGTACTTTATTAAAGCTTGTTTTACGTTTTACATATTTTATAATAAATTGTTTGGAAATTTATTTTTGCACAATTAACACTTATTTTGTCGTCTGTTATGATTTTACAGTTTCATTTAAATGAACATTTTAATCAATGAATTACAGTTTTACAATAGTTGTCAGGCCACATAAAAAAACAACAAATACAACAATTATATTCAGTCTCTCTTGTAAATGAGTCCTCGTGACTCAATGGGACGAACCTGTTTAAATAAAGGTTGAATTAATATCTTCTATAGAAATCAAGAGTTCATCCAGATGTTCTGAGGTAAGCTGGAGCAGATCACATGGCTATATTGATCATTGTATTGCATATATAAAAAAATTCTAACCAATATGTGTTTGCAGACTCGTTTCCTTCTAAAATGTAATGATAAATGTATCAGCCGCTGCTAAAAACGCTTTGATCAAATGCATAGTCTGTGAAATAATCAGTAATCAGTTGGTTACTGCTCAGTAATTACTGAAAGACACAGGTAGAGTAAGAAAAGTGGATTTTAGTGTTGTGTTGCTCCAGCAGCCTCAGACTGTCAAAAAATGAAGAAGTTACATTTCCGGGTGCGCGGAGCCATCTTGCTGTGACGTCACGCCACGACCTTTACACAAAATGAACTTTGAACTGCAAACTTGTGACTTGTGTAAGAACACACGAGCTTCAAACACGGAGTCTGCTCACACTGAACCTTTACACACAGACCTTAGCAGGACATGTCTCCCGCCATTCGGCGTACCTTTATGTCCACGGGACAAACGTAACTTTTACCTTGTTGTAATGGACCTCGGGCTGCGGGTTCGGCGCTGGGACAGCGGTTCCATAGGAACAGACTCGGATGAGCCGTGGAAACGTGCGAGGAATGACTGCTCTGAGCATGACGAGGCTCTGCACGACAACAACTGCAAGTGCGACTGAACAACGAACTTCTTCTTCTTCTTCTTCTTCTTCTTCGTGCGGTCTTTATGGGCGGCTGACCACCAACTTAAAGCTGCTTTACCGCCACCAACAGACTATATGCCACGGACTTCCGTTCTAGCACTTCCGCATTTTTCAGAAGGGCTGCGCACTTCCTGTTTGCTGTCAACACAGTGTTAGTGATGGCGTTTTTCACTCGATCACTGCAGGACTTGCCAACAATATCTGTTAATGATGTCTACAGAATTATTCAGACTTTCTCGAAAGCGCCCACATCTAAAAAGGACAAAGGATTCAAGCTTTATGTGTCCAACTACATAAATAAGTACGAAGGTAAGTCGGTATTTTTTTTCAGTTCACCGAACTGCCTCATGCAGGCTACATATAACACAGCTAACGTAGCTAACCTTGCTAAATTGTTGAGTAAACGTGTGTTGTCTGTACAATGTTTCTGATTAACCCAAATATTAGTTTCAAACAAGGAGGCAGGAGAAGTCACAGTTAGGGCTGAGTGTTTCCAGTCAACGAGGAAAAGCCAGAAGCCCCACTGTTTGAGTGTAAGTCAAAACCACCCGACATGTTCTCTACAGGGCTGTGTTTTAAGAAGCTAGTAGGACTTTGATAATTACGGTTGTCTTTTCATAATAGCACTTGGAGTTGGTACATTTTGGTCTCTTAACAAATATTTGGTATTGTACACAGATGGTGCTGAGGGAATCAAAGCCGGTGGAGTTTCAGGGATGTCAGTGCACCTGTGTGGCAGGTACAGTCCTGTGCAGCCATGTGGCAGCTCTGCTGTTCCAGACGGCTCACTACTCCCAGTTGAAGCTTCCAGCTGTTCCTCCAGTCCTAAGCTGCACAGACACCGAACAAAAGTGGCATAAACCGAGGACAATGGTAACTACATATTGATGACTCTTTATTCCTGCTTATGAATTATAGTTCAATACTGTATTTACATCAATGTTGTTTTTGGATGCAGGGCATAAAACCTGGTCCAGTTAAGGACATGGTCGTCCTGTCAGCAAAACCAAGAGAGAGGAAAATCTTTGAAGGAATTAGGTTTGTTTTAATTTAAAGAACACAGACACATGCACAAACACACACACACACACACACATTTTTAAAAATTCATTAAATTTACTATCACAACACATGCACAAAAAGTGCATGTTTTGCTGTTTTATGTGCTTTATACATAAAATGTTATGGTATGGTACTTAAGCTTATGTTGTACTATGCCAGAGATAGGTTAAAAATGCAAATAAGTAACTAATCAAACTTCGTTTTTAAACAAGACAATAACTTTATTGCCTAAAATACAATAACATAGGCTTTATTTAGTATAAATTTCATCATTTGCCTATTAATGTCTTGTTTATGACAAATTTTTATTTTTCTCAACAGAAGCAACTTGTATAAAGGCACTACCAGCCCTCTGCCACTCATCTCCACCCTAAGGATACAGGATGTGTACCGGGGACTTCCAGCTGAAGAAGCACCAATGATCACCACAATGGCTGTCTCCAACGATGTCCCTCTTGTTGACTCTTTGTTTGGTCCAGTACAAGAGGGAAGTGTTCTGTCATATCAGCTGCCAGCAAAGGTAGTTCCCAGGACCCGTCCACACCAACACGTCCTCTTACATAATGATTAGGGATGGTAGGCAGGCACTCAAACGTACACACCCATATTACTGGCAAATCCAGGGACAAATGCTAATTTCAGGGTGTGACTGGTGTGACTTTGTCATTTACACAGAAAATGACATGTTTATTGAGAGGGTTCCCCGTGACATGGAAGAACTGCAAACCATAAAACAAAAGGTTGACCATTTCTTTTTTTATTTTTACCTCAGCGCTTGCCTGGCAAATTAAGGTAACATAGTCAAATTTTAACCTTTGCATATATAATTGAAAATACTGTTAATACTTGTGTCATGTTCCTTCCATTTATATTATTTTTAAGCAGTTAGATTTATGTATTTCTCTTTAAGGTCAGATACAATTTATTCTGTTTGAAATTAGCTATTAGGCTGTTATAATCATACCCTCTTTGTGAACTGTGTTTTTCTGTTTCAACAGTTTGCATTCACTAGATGAGTGGCATTTTTTGAAAAAAAAAATAAAATAAAATAAATTTTTTCATTTCAGTTTTATTAGTACTGTATTTCAATATCCCACTTGATGGCTTGACTTACATGAAAAATGTTATAAAAGAACTGATTTAATGGAAAAAGTTCAGAGAAATTGAAATATTTATGACAGTGATTTAATTTTATTGTAAGTACAAAAAAACAAAATCAAACATAGATATACAGCATATTTTCTTGCTGTTACTCAGATGTCAGGCTTCTTTGCCCAGGCCTTTACTAGTGGGCCATTTTCATAATTTGTGAGTAGACAAGCAACAGTGAACAGTTGGTTGATTATACCAAAAACACCTAGGGGAATTTCAGAGTCAAGTAACTTGTGCTCTTTGACCCGGCGAATGAGGCGCTCCACATGCACCCTGAGACGTGCTATGTCCTGGGTCTCTCTAACATCCTCAGCAGACATCTGAGACCTGCCAGACAGAAATGCTGGCCTGTAAACTTTGCAGGGAACAATGTCATCAATAAGAAAGCCCCTGTCCACCATAACAGCCATCCCTGGTTTTAACAGCGTGATGAGACCAGATTCACGGGTGATCTGCTTGTCACTGATGGACCCGGCATACAGTCCAGAGATGAATGTCACTGCCCCATGAGGTGCAATCCCAATCAGCCCTTTCAGAGTGCAGTGGGATTTATAAGATGAAAACACCTCACTCTGGAGGAGAGGGGAAGATGGGCACTGACACCTCAGCTCAGTGCAGTCAAGGATGACTGTAGTGTCAGGGTAGTGTTTGAAGTCTGCCGGTAGATGTTTTCGTATATGTTCCTCCGGTATCCAGATCCTAATTGAACCTAAGACTGTAAATAAGAAATTGCTCCATGTTGTGATGATCCTGCTGACAGTGGACTGATGGACACCGTACCGGTCAGCAAGATCACGTTGCTTGGATCCAAGGGCAAGGTAATTTAAAAACATGAAAAACTCATCGATGGGCTGCAAAGTACAAGTTGATGGAGTGGAGTCGAGGGCAGTTCCTCTCTGTCCTTGGCGAACACTGACCATGGATGGCAGAGAGGGCTCAATCATGCCCCAGAAACGCATCAGGAGGTCATATGATGCAAACCTGAAAAAAAAACATACCATAACAATTAGTGTCCATGTTAAACTACACAGCATACTTAAAAATAAATTCAACCCCAGGCACTGTGCTGTAATACTGTAATTAATTTAGAATATAAATACTTATATGGAAGATTGGTATTAGTTATTTGTCATGTTACATTATTCATAGATGACTGTTGTTTGAATTGATATTTTGAGTTAATTTTGTTTTAAAGAAGGGGCTGATATGATAAGATTATTTCTTCTGCTACCTTTCATTTTATGTATTTTTTTCATGTGGTTTTGTAAATTGTTTTTTTGGGGCTTTAAGTATGAAATGAACACAAAAAATTAAAATAAATGAAATGTATACATACACACAAATAATATACCTAGGCACATAGACACACACACACACACACACACATTAAATATAGAGAGAGACAGAGAGAGAGCGAACTTAATTCAAACTGAATTTTTCGCTTTAGCATATAACTCGTGAAAAGGTTTTCTAAAATAATTTTATACTCTGTGTAACACAAACGCGCGCGCATCCCCCTCCTCACACACACACACACACACACACCTACCTTGTGAAGAATCTAATGTCCTTGTCGGAGGATGCAAAACGGTGAATGCCGAATCGCTGCCTCAGTGTCAGGCTCTCAACCTGTTCCCGTAGCTGGCGGACTTCCTCCCGGAGATGATTATTTTCCTCCAGCACTGAATCCACAACTGCAGGGTCTGGACTAGCAGCATAACCGCGGGTCTTGGAGGTGGAAGGGAGTAATTATTCCATTCAAACAAAGCAGGTACAGCTCCCTTTTTTAACATCCGTCTTCCCTTTTCAGATCCTGGCTCTTGAATGTCCTCAGGTTTGAAATGCCGACTACAAACGCGG